TTTTTTTTTTTTTTTTAATCTTCACCTAAGGATAATTTTTCCATTGATTTTTAGAGAGAGTGGAAGGGAGAGGGGAGACAGAAACTCCAATGTGAGAGAGACACATCGATTGGTTGCCTCCCGCATGCCTCTGACAAGGGCCGGGAGCCTGCAACTGAGGTACATGCCTTTGACCGAATCGAACCCGGGACCCCTCAGTCCGCAGGCCGACTCTCTATCCACTGAGCCACACCGGCCAGGGTTGAATAATAAGATGTATATATCACGGGGGCGGGGGGAGGGGCGGCAGCGGGATTTTTAGAGAGGTTTCGCTGGGGCATGGCCAAAAAAAGAAAAAGAAAAAAAATTGGGGGAATGATCGGGTGAGATTGTGGCTCACACACAGAGAAGGGCAAAGGCCGGATATCCACGAGAGAGTTAAACAGGGCAAAAAAAAAAAAATGAAAAAAAGGGCGGGGGGGACATGTGTAATCATTTCAACCACAGAGATACGATAAGATACAAAATGCAATGACTGGCGAGTGTGAACGAGCGGGGGCGTTGTGTCTGGGCGCCCGGCCAGCAGGCAGGGGGTGTAGCTCATAACGGAGGACGCATGCAACTCCCTAAGTGCAAAGAGTTCTGAGCTGCTGGCTGAGGAGGGCTGCAACAATGTATCCTGGCTGTTGCTAAGCGACCCGGACCTATGGATACATTGTTGCAGCCACACTCCAATGTATCATGGCTGTTGCTAGGCGACCCGGACCTATGGATACATTGTTGCAGCCACACTCCAATGTATCCTGGAAGTGACTAAGTGACCCGGACATATGGATACATTGTTGCAGCCGCACTCCAATGTATCCTGGATGTTGCTAGGCGACCCGACATATGGATACATTGTTGCAGTCCTACACAGCGAGCTCAGAACTCGGGGTGTCAGTCACTAAGGGCACAGGACCTGTAAGGGCAGTGGAATCACTAAGCCCCCCAAATGCTGCAGGGAGCTCCCACTCGCCCTTGAACGACTTGATAGCACCCCAAAGTCGTCCCTTAATGTCATTCCATGAAACTGCACCCCAGGCCAGTCAGGAAACGCCTCGCTGCGCCGAGCGGGGGCGCTTCTGGGC